TGCAGGCGAGGTTAATGTACCCCAAGACAGGACACAGCTGAAGCAATCCGGGTTTGTGGAAGAGGTGTGGAAACTCTTGAACAAAGGGCAGTCGGCTGAAAGGTGAGGGCAGAGCTGGCCTTCCAGGCTTTGGAAATGTTCCCTGGAGCTGTTCTGGGTGTTGCAGTGGGTCCTGCAAGTAGTTCTGAGCCGGAAGTAGGATATAGTTTCTGCAGAGCCTGGGAGCCAGGTGTTAAAGTAGACATTAGGGGAAATGTGTTCTCTCTCCAGTTCTGCTAAGAATGAAAATGTTTACTGTGTTTTGTTAAATATGGCATTTTTTGAGTGTAAATATTCTTTGGAAATTGTGGAAAACTACTGTCTGCTTTGGTGGAGAGGCTGCTGGGAAACCTTGAGGAAAGGTTGGGGCTCCTTGTGTGTGAAAGAAGAGCCCTCGCCCCGTCATGCTCTCGACTTGCAGACTGTGAGTCAGGCTGGTCCATCGGAGGTGGAATCGAGGGACAGATGGCCCTGTCCTGCAAAGATGGTATTGGCGCAGGCGGTGCCATACTAGAGATAGGTAATGATTTGTACACAGCAGGTATTCAGAGCCTGAGTAATGTTTTTTAATGAAATGTTTTTCTTAAAAGCCTGAAACGGATTGTGTTGGGTTTTCTTTGTCCCAGCTTGTCTGTGATACCAGTTGGAGCCATGGTAGATTGCAGTTCATTTCACATTATTTTTTTGGCACTGACCTCCGATTCTCTCTGGGAAGGAACCATGCCATAGTTTGGGGGCTGTTTGCTTAGGAAAATCAGTGACTGAGTTGCAGGTAATTTCTATTGGTTGGTACAACTGCATATATTTACTGTCAGATTGAGGCCAGATGTGTGTCAGGGACAGAAGAGCTCTGCTTTGTCATAGCTCACCATGTAAGCCTCAGAGGATGCTGAGATACTCGTATTTTAATTGCCTGTTAACTGCTTTTCTCAACAACTAAAAACCTGCAGAATGAGTGGGAGATGAATCGCTGAGGCCTGGAGCTCTTTTTCCCAGAGAATGTAATGTGGACACGGGTCAGACCTCGCCTTGGCTTCTGAGCCGGGACAGCATCTCAGGGAAAGTGAGACGCTCTGGGCAGAGGTCAAGGGTGGGCAAAGCCATCGAGACTGGTGATGCAGGCAGTGCAGAGGGCAGGGTGCCAGGGCTGTGGACCGCATGCTCTGAGCAGTGACAGTGGATACCACCTCAGCCGCCTCCGGAGAGCTGGGGGCTCAGAATCCAGTGCCTAGTTCCTGTCTGCTGTCATGTCCTGGCTGTGTGCCCTCCTCACAGCTGTCCTTCCTGCTGGAGTCACAGGTGGGGGGGGGGCAGGGGAACCCTGGCCTTACACCTTCCTTCTGTCCACCCAGCCTGGTGGACACGGATGTGCTCCTGGCCACATCTTCTTGTCTCTGTTGCCATTACTAGTGCCTTGGGTCAAGCCCTGGAGTCTGATCTGGAGTCTGCAGCCTCCCCGAGCTGGCCTCACCCGGTACCTAGCCTTGCGACCTGGTCCCCTGTGTTTGGCCATCTATGTTGTTCTCTTCCTCTGCCCTTCGCTGTTCTGTTTTTCTGTTGGTAGTTAACCAGTTTGGCCTGCACACGACCAACTCCTTTTTGAAGCTTTTTATTTCAGAGTTGTAATGAGGCTTGATCCCCTCAGTCCCCGAAGTACATGCCTTGAGAAGCTGCCTCTCAAATGAAGCTAGTGGGGACCCTCTGCACCGACACCTGGGAAGCTGCATCCCACCCTGGTGATGCCTTCTCTCTTCTTCTTCGGCTCAGTCTGTAGCCTCTCCAAGGACGAGGTGACCTTTGCCATCTTCTTGTAGGCCACAGGCTGCTGAAGGGTCTTTGTCCTAGCTGTTATCACGGGACTTTGCACTTTGTGGCTCACCTCTGTCCCCATAGCTGATAGCATGCAGGCACTTGGTTCCCCTGCTGCTTTTCTTCCGATCCCCATACATAACAACTGGATTTTGTGAGTCACCAGTTTGCATTTTGTCTTCTGCACTCTAGGTCAGGATGGCTGGCGGGTTGGCTTCCGACCTGGTGCCCTACATCTCCGCTGCTCCTGAAAGAAGCTGAAGAGAAAATGTTAAAATGTAAGGCTTCCTTCTCACTTACCGGGACTGTTGGCTCAAGTAGACTTGGTAGATCACCTCACCCTGAAGCTGGAGATCTGGCTCTGTGGCGTGTTAGTTATTGGCTAAAGAACTATTTCTTCGGGGCTGGGGATTTAGCTCAGCGGCATAAGCGCCTGCCTTGCAAGCAGGCAGTCATGAGTTTGATCTCTGGTACTAATAAAAAAGAAAAAGACAAAAAAAAAAAAACCCCAAAAAAACTGTTTCTTCTTCCACGCTGTCAACAGGTGGCAAAATGTGGGCAGGGTGGTGATTCTTGACCTTCTCAGTCTCAGGCTGTTGTTAAACTTCAGTTAGGGGGGCCCTACGGAGCTTTGCTTGTGGCTATCATTACCAGTATTTACATGTTAGAAGAAGTCTAAACTAAGTAACTGGAAATATGTTAATGTATTAATTTATTTGAAAATAATAGTAACATAACCGTTGCAGGTTAATTTAACCTAGTGCTTGTTTTAAATAGCATGTTTGTTTAATTATATATATTATACATTGTTTACTTGTTTGCACATCTCTTTAGTGTCTGACTTAATATAAGTCAGGTGAGTTGTCATACCTGTCATATCTTTCAATCCCTTGGGTAATCACTTATCAGTCATCTCTGGAAAACTTCACTGTACACTCAACAAAATAAGAGTGGAAAGGAAAACAAAGTTTAGTATTGTTATAAAAACAATTTTGACCTCAAAAGATCTCAGGGACTACACACACACACACAGTGTCTCCAAACTACATATTTTGAGAACAGATTCTAGATCTCCTAGCATCTTGCACAGTAGAACAGGTACTAGACCGAAACCAGTAACCTGGTTTAGGCCCTCATCTGTTACCAGGCCCCAGGAGCTCAGCTTCCTGTTCTTCCTGTAGCATAAAGGGGTAGAGTAATCCTTCGGATTCTTTCTGGCTCTAGCATTTTAGGGATGTATAATTCTGCATTTATATTGGTGTGAAGGTTTTTTTAAACTAAAATTCTTTTGGGCACTGACACTTATCTACACTTCTGTCAAAGCCCTCGAAGGTATCAGTGGGCATAGGTCTCTAAGCTGTGGTGTCCACTGTCCAGTTTTGCTCTGTTGCTGCAGTTCTTGGACGTGACGGCTTTGCATGTGCAGATGTTTGCTCGTACCTGTTTTGTCCTCTTCCCATAATTGATGTTCTCATTTGTACATGCAGTGACTCAGGAGTGAATGACCATAACTGGACGTGTACTCAGGAAGGGGTAATTAGCCACCTTACATCAATTTTCAGTATGAGAATGAATTTCTCCTCACTCCATGTACCTGGATAATGTTGTTCTCCACAAAACCAACCAGGTTGTTAACCAAAAATAAAAATTCTCATCTGGAGGTGAGAAGGGGCATGAGATGCTCAAGTCATGCATTTAGGCAAGCGCTGATTCTCTACTCCAGTGTTGGGGATGAAAAGGAGTGAGAATTGTCCCCACTCCAGGATCCGACAGGAAGTGGAGTAGCTAATGGGGTAGGTGAGCTGTCTCCTCAGGGTACTGATCATTGTTAGGGAAATTTGCAGGCATCTGTGTTCAAAGGCTGAAGTGACTCGGCTTGGAGCTAGTGCCCACTCACTTCAGTTCCAGACGCTTAGCTTTTCCCCTACAGAGGCACATAGGATTGTTAATATTCTGAATATATGCTGATTTCCTCTTTCTGCCACTGTGTAAATACCAAACCTGAGGTCGTTTCTTTGATTAAAAGGCAGAAACAACTGGTTCTCCACATTTGGCCCCTGCAGGTGAATACACACAGTTAATTAAGGGGTACATCTAGAGTGTAGTTTTTCCGTTGCATTATGGCTTGTGTTTAAATGTCCCCCCAAAGCCTCCTGTGGTCAGAAGTGGCTGGGTCCAGAGTGTGTGACTGATTCGTGGTGCAGTGCTGGGAGTAAGGGTGTGCATTACGGAGTGGTTCATGACTGGTTTAGCACCGCCCTAACCCCAATAGTCTGAATAGGATAAAAGGGGCAGAAAGACACTGCACAGTCCCTTCAGTGCTGTGAACGGTTCTGTGTACGGCCCTCTGTGAAGCCACCCCTCCTGGGGCCAGCTGATCATGGTTGAAATCTCTCCAGACTGTGAGCCAAATAAATCTTTCTGCCTTTGACTTTGACTGTCAGGTGTTTTGTCTCAACAATGAGAAAAGTAATTTCTCTTCATCTTTAGGTAATTTTGGGTACTGGGCTTTAGACAGATAGCACTGAATGCAAGTTAAGAACGTTAATCTACAGGCTTGTGATTATTTGCATTTTCTGGGTGATCGTTGGACTTGAATTTGGGCTACCTGATGCCTCATGCTGAGCCATTCCTAGTCACCTTAATCCGTTTTTTCTACTAAGCTTTCCAATGACTCATGGTCTCAGTTGTGTTTAGTATGCATACCATTAATCCCTCCCTAAACTCACAATGCTTCTTGATTTGAGTCTGACTTCAATCTTCAGTGCTTACTTAGTTCATCAAGTGTTTTCTATCCTTGGTTACTGGCTGCAAAGCCAGAAACATGAAATGGGGATCCAGTGACCCCAAGTCCAGCTCCAGTCACTGGTTCCTTCACGTATGGAGAGGGAAAAGGTCAGGTAGTGACGCCAGAGCCTTTGGCCACAGGTGATTGAGGTTTGCCTGAGGTGGATTTTTCCACTTAGACAGAAACATGGTCTTTTAGAATTTCTCGATTCAGTAAAATAATGTACTGTTTTGGGGGGTGATATAATAAAGACTAAAATCATACAATGGAGTACCAAGTAGATTTTAGGGTATTACATTTTGGTTGCTGTGAGAATACTTTCCTCAGAAAGCTAAGCAGAATTTCTCTTTTGTGTTTTTATTAGGTGTCCCCTGCATTTACCAGAAAGAACCTGTTCTTATATCTAATGGAAATAAAATATGGACCCTAAAGTTCTCTCAGAATATGTCAGATAAGACTCCGCTTGTCCTCCTACACGGCTTTGGAGGTGGCCTCGGACTGTGGGCTCTGAATTTCGAAGCTCTTTGCACCGACAGGCCCGTCTACGCTTTTGACCTGCTGGGCTTTGGACGGAGCAGTCGGCCCAGGTTCCACAGCGACGCGGAGGAGGCAGAGAATCAGTTTGTGGAATCCATCGAAGAGTGGAGGTGCACCCTGGGGCTGGACAGAGTGATCTTGCTCGGACACAACCTGGGGGGCTTCCTGGCTGCTGCCTACTCACTCAAGTACCCGGCGAGGTGAGTGACGGTGGCGGAAGCGCAGAAGGTTGGCTGTGGCACCCAGGCTGTCACCTCTTCTTTCCTGTTTGATGGTTGTTAGTGACCAAGCCTTCCAGGATAGCCGTTCTCCTCGAGGCCGTGTAGGCCAATGGCCACGACCGATGGCTGTTTTCCTAGCTAAAATAATGGTAGCAGGTTTTCCTGTTAAACTGCTATACACTGATAAGTCTGGTAAAGGACTGTACACTTGTTATTAAGAATTGCATGAAGTTTATCCATAGTTTAAAACTTTAAATAACAAATATTATGGTATTGTTTATTGGTATTATCATCATTAATCTGTTTTCCAGCAGGCTTTTCCTTCCTAACTTTTCTAAATAATTGTAAGCTATTCTGGAAACCAAAAGATTAGAAGTTAGACGATCTAACCCAGTGGTGGTGAACTTATGGCACACGTGCCCAGTGGACCATTTGTGTCATTGAAGCTCCGCAAGGTTCACCATTGCTGCTTCCAGCCCTCGTGTTGTCTTTGTGACTTAGAGTGAATTGTGGATCTGTCTAAAGTTTGGTTCCTTCAGAGGGTACTGGTCTTTTAGGTGTTGTGTTCTTTGTTTAGTTTTGTTTTGATATTGGAGTCTAAACTCATGGCCTTGTATGTACTAGACAAGGGCTCTATCACTGAGTTGCATCCCCAGGCCCTCTTTTTTTGATTTGAGGCAGGGTCTTGCTAAGTTGTCCTGGCTGACCTTGAACTTTTAGTCTTCCTGCCTCAGCCTCCCAAGTAGCTGGGATTATGGGGTGCACTACGGCCCCCATAATCCCCATAATTCTGTGGGTTTGGATTTTACTGTTCCCTAACCTTCTCATTGTGGAACTCTTTTTCAGTCATCGGATTAATAATGTTTGTTTCAAAATCTTGCAAACATTACGTTTTTTAAATATTCTTTTGTGTCATGCTGCTGCTTGGAGTGGGGGTCACAGTTGAGTGTGAAGTAAATAGAAGTAAAACATCTTTGTTTTACTCATGTTTTGGGGAAGAAATTAAAAAGTGAATGCCAGCATCTGGGTGTTGCCAGATATTTCCCCACCAGTGTTGGTCTCATGAACTGCAGCACTGCAGTGAGGTCGATCCTGAGAGGGGGTAAGCCTGGGGGGAGTCATTCTGTGGGTCCCTGAGCCCCAGCAGCATTGCCTCACCAGACCCTGGACATGGCTCCACAGGTGCTCCATGTTATAACATGGGCCCCGGTATAAAGTCCAAGGAAACAAGAGTCCAAAACTTAAGTAGCAAAGGCTTTATTGAGCCAGTCCTGGCGGCACAGTCTCTCCTGGATCGACCCAAAGACTGCGCGCCCAAGACTGGGGAAAGGGGTTTTTAGAAGTAAGGGAAAGTGGGGGGAAACCTGTGAGGCCATTAAACCTGTTGACCTGCATCTGGAAATTGTATTGCTGTCCACTTAGCTCTGACAGTCTCGGGAGTTCCTGGTGTTGCTCAAATTACTCCCATCCTGCAGACTGACATTATCTCAGAGTGGCACGTCTGCAGCAATATTTGGAGAAGAAAGTGGAGAGTTAATTATCTCAGGACAGCTTGTCTTTGCTAGTGAGTGCGAAGGGGTCACGAGTTATGAGATGCTGGAACTTAAGTTTTACAAAGATCTGATATCTAACTTATTTGATACATGCAGAACAAAAGGAAAGCACCAATCGGGGTTTGGGCCATAGTATTACCCGGTAATTTCTCTTAAGCTAAGCAGTTCTTAAAATTGGGGCCGGCTCATTTTATGACAGATCATCACCGGGTCGGGGAGAGGTCACCAGAAACCCAAATTCTTTATGGCCCAGATAGGTGGGTGGGGGGAGGCAATAAGGCGCGCTACAGAACAGGAAAACGGCAGGTATCTATCTTGTGGGAAAAGTAACTAAGGTTAGGTAAAAAGGTTAAACTCATACGCAAATCTCCCTGCATATAAACAAGTTACTTCAAACAATGTGTAAATTAGTGGGCCTTCTAGTCTTCTTTAGTTCTTTAGCGAAGAATAGAGGCGCCTAACCGTGATTAACAACCCTTGTTAGCTTGTTTTAGCACCACTCTTCTTGTTTGTAGAGAGGGCTCTGGTTAACATCTCAATTAAGTGAAATTCTTGCAATTCTTTACAGGGGAGAGTATTGCTCAACATATCAATTGGGTCACTTAACATATCAGTTAGGGAAAAAAAAAACATTTAGTAAGCCACGGTACAGGTTTGCTATAATACACAAAATGATGAAGCTACTTTCTTAGAGTACAACACTCAGAGTGGGTGCACCGGTCCTGTCAATGAGCAGACCTGTTCTTTCAAAAGAATATAATTGTCTCCCCTGGGTTGGCGTTTTGGGATTATTCTCTTTTACTGTGCCTCACGTTTAGTGACAGTACCTGGCTGTATGTATGAAGGAGGAAAAGGAGGTGGACACGTCCTGGTGGAGACCTCGCAGCTGTTGAGAGAGCGGCCTCCCCTCGGTAGTTTTTCTGAATCGGGTTTATTATGCCTGTCCTGTGAGGTTGATGTCTGGTGCTTGCTCAGAAGAAACCAACAGGTGATCCTGGTGACTAAATCCTGTCTCTTGATGATGTTCGATGGTGAGATTGGCTTTTGTAGTGGTCAGGTGCTCTGAAGAGATGGGGAAGCTCCTCGGGTGCAGAAGGGGCCTCTTTATAAAGGAGAACAGCAAAAGGATCTAAATCAGAGCGGTAATCCTCATCGCCCTGACCACAGGTTAGAGAACGGTTACCCAGTGTCTGTAGCTACTACCAGAAGTAGCCCCAGAGGACTGCACCAGGGACCCCCCAGAGAAGAATAATAAACAGATAGGAAAATGCTCGAAGTAACCAGTGCATCTCAAGTCTTCTGGTCGCCACCGAAATATCGTACTCTGCCAAGGCCGTGGGGCGCTCACCCCTGCATTCGCAGCCTCTCTATGTCTCCCTCTGCAGTCGCAGGCGAATGGAAGGGGAAAACAAAATCCACAGGGTTTGAGTTGTTCAGACTTGGTTACATAAAACTGAAATTATTAAACACAGTCAGTGTCAGCACAGTGGCACACTCTGCATTTTCAGCCATCCCAGCAGCTGTCACTGCACAATGGGGGATGCCCCTGGGGGAGGTCTGGCCCTCAGTACATCTTCAGGCCAGTGGCATCTCAGGTGTGGCGCAAGGTGCATGAGCAGGGTTGCAGCATCTACCCTAACTGTCATGTGCATCATTTTCTTGACCTGGGTAGCATTTTTATTGTGCTTTCATGAGACTTAAATGAATCTTAGTGTTTCTGAGAAATGCGCAGGCAGAAGCTGTGTGGGGAGAAGGAGGTGCTGGAGGCCTGTGGATAAGAGGCCACCTGGACCTGGTGTCTGGCACCAGTATACTGGGAAGCGCCACTCGAGCTGCGGTCTCAGAGGGCAGTGCCATCTGGGCAGTGGGAGGGTCTTGTCCGTAGTACGACAGGAATCTCACGGGTTGTATGCTGAGCCTGAATGGCCAGTGTGGCTGTGGGCAGGATCTGGGACAGCTCAATGGTGACTCGGGGAGGACACGCCCCATCCTCCTGCCCAGGACAAGCTCGATTCATCTCAGTCTCTGCTCCACGTCCTCTCGGCAGAGATATGCCTGTAACTTCTGCTGGAGATGAGTGTGTTGGGTCCCAGATGGATGGATGGGTGGCTCCCTGGGGAGTGTTCTGGCCCTTTCTGTGAAGCCGGCTTCAGAAGGCGGAGCATGCAGGCAGTAGTAGTGACAGCTAGGGCTACTGTCACTTTCTTCCAGCTGTGTGCTCAGTGTTTTTGGTCAAAATCTTTTTCCCTCTGGTTCTTGCTGCTCAGAAGCCAACACTAAGACTATCAGTATTTTACAGGTGTTTGCTGTAAACTAGGGAAAAAGGAGGTTGTAGAAACTCGTAGCTTGGAAAATGTTTAGCAAGAGATCCATCCTGGTTTGTCAGAGTAGGCTGTGTCCAGAAACTTGCAGGTTTCTGGTCACTTTAGCCTAAATGCATTGGAGATTTGAACCTGCCTCAGTCTCTTTACCACCTCTGCAGGCCTGGGCCGAGCAGCTCCATCTGTACCATCTGTACCTGGGGTCAGAGGTCTTGCAGTCGTGGCCCCAAGTCTTCTCTTCCTGGAGTGTGGAAACACCCAGGGCTGATTGCGCGTTGGGACACCTCCTTGGCACTGACCAGAGTTCTTTCTGTACCTTTTCCTTGTTTCTTGTTTTTAGAGCTCTCTGTACCTTTTGGTTCTGGGATTGGTCTTCACATTGTTTTTAGCTGGGGCTGATGGAATCCCAGAGCCAAGTTTACAAACCCAGTCAGCTCCAGCATGCCACCGGGCCCTTCCCTGCACCTCACAGCGGGGCTTTGGGGTGGTCTTTGCCATAAAAGCAAACAAAACAAAACAAATAAAACACCCTTTGCAGTCTCTTTTCTCTGCAGTCTTTGGAGATACTTTCATGGAAGACTTCTCAGGCTATGAATACATGGAGTGTGCGGAACTCTCCTGCCTCATCTGTCTGCACTGGGATTCTTCAGCAGCCTAGGCCTCTGCTTCCAGGATGGGTTAGGCGGGAAGCCGCTCAGTGGCATGCTGGCGTCTGTCACACTGGCTTGGGCCCTGGTTCCAGCTGCCTTGTGCCTTGTGCCTGGATCAGCTCACAGAGTGTGTCTCAGCTTCCTTCCCATTGGCGAGGGAAGACTGTGGGGTTCTCTGGGGCCAGCAGAGCCCTGGGTGTGCTCGGAAGCTTTCTGTTTGAAAAAAAAAAATGAACTTACCCTTGCCTGTATCAGCACTGGTGTAACATAAGCAGTGATGGCACCAGCATGTGCTTCCCTCTTGGCCTCTGTGTCTCAGTTATGACCGCGCAGAAGGACTTGGAACCCTTGGCTGACACTGTAGAGCATCAGGATGATGATGGTGCCTGTAGAATCTTCCCGAGGTCCCTAAGCATGTGCAGCACTTTTACAGTTCCAAGTTTTCTTCATCAAGAACAAGATTCATAAGATGGGAAATCAAAGCTGTTCATGGCAGGAGACCATGCTGCCTGAAGGTGGAAGGGGCCCTTTGGCTGGTCAGGAAGGACTCGGCAAAGCCTCAGGAGCTGCAGGTTTCGAGGTCTTGGTTGGAGCCGGCGGGACATCCTGTCTCCCCAGAGTCCATCCTCCCATGCGAGGACCGTGCCTGCAGCCTGTGTGTGCAGACCTGATCGTCCTGTTTGTGGAAAGGGCATTTCATTTCCTTTCGAACCCACATGAAGCCCTGGCTTAAGTTTTTAGAACGACTGATCTAGAAGACATTATTATGGGTATGGGTATCCAGGTTATTTTGGGAACATGGTGCTTGGTCTTGGCTTGGTTCTGCAGCGTGAGGTACAGGGAGCTGTTGGTTTTGTTCGAGTGGTTGATCAGCTGCTAGAGGGTGGCTTTGCTGAAGGAACAATTCTGTGCCACACCTTCGCCCCTCTTTTGTGACCCGCAGTTGGATATATTACAAATAAAGACCTCTCTACCACAGAGTGCTCAAATCCTCCTGGGTCTTAAGACTTCACCCAGGGCCAGTGTGACGCAGCTGCTCAGCAGTTTTATCCTCTTTAATGTAGATGTTTCCAAAGGCGGGCCCTTCGCCCTTAAGGATAACCATGTTAGCTTTGTATAGTCTCAGGGTGAACTACCAAATGAACCTTGGTCTGTTCTCCCCCACAGGGTCAGTCATCTCATTTTAGTGGAGCCCTGGGGTTTTCCTGAGCGCCCAGACCTTGCTGATCAGGACAGACCGATCCCCGTTTGGATCAGAGCCTTGGGAGCAGCGCTGACCCCCTTCAACCCCCTGGCCGGCCTCAGGCTCGCAGGCCCTTTCGGTGAGCACCGCCTCCCCGGGAGGCGGACCTAGCACGGGTTTGGCCTCAGAAAGCGCGGACACCTTTCCTCCGTCCAGAGCACAGATGGGAATGTGTGCGTGTGGAGAGCGCTTGTCTGTCCGTGGCGATAGTGCAGCCGCTAAGTGTAACATAAACCTCCGCTTCGGTGTCTCCTGCTGTACAGGTCTGAGCCTCGTGCAGCGCCTGAGGCCTGACTTCAAGCGGAAGTACTCATCAATGTTTGAGGATGACACCGTGGCAGAGTACATCTACCACTGCAATGTGCAGACGCCCAGGTGAGGGGGCCGGAACCTGCTGTATCTGCTTTAAGCTTCTCTGTTTGGAAAATGTGTTAGTAGCCCAGATTTTTATCAGTAGTTAAATGGAAAGGGCAAATATCTAATGCAGCTTTTTCTTTTTTTTAAACCCAAGATTCCATGTCTGCTAGACATGCTGTATCCCCAGCCCCTTTCTAATGTTTTATTTTGAGACAAAGGCTCACTAATTGCCTGTGATCTTCCTGCCTCAGCCTCCCTATTAGCTGGGATTGCAGGTGTGTGTTGTACCCAGAGTGTCTGATCTTCAGAGTTACTCATCTATTCATAGAGGGCCCACTACAGCAAATCCTGGGCAGAACTGAAGAGTGGGGTAGGCTTTCTGCCCCTAAAGCACCGGTGGGTGAGGTGAGGCAGTGTTACTCTTAGGAATCTAAGAGGCAGCCCTGCACGAGAGGCCATGTTACTCACCACCGTGCAGCTTTCCCACTTGTGCGGGGCGCAGCTGCAGTGGGGAGAGGGGCTGGATGGGAACCAGGCAGGCCAGACACGGTCATTCACAGCCCTGAGCTCGGGTGGGGCAGAGCTGACCTGGCCCTGGAGCCCCGGGAGGAGCAGCAGGAGGGCAGAGACAAGCCGCCATGTGCCAGGCTCTGTGGCTTCCCCGGGAGCTGGTTCCGGTTCTGAGCAAGATGGAGCCCTGTGTTTGGACACTGCCTCTAACATGCACTCTGGGTGATGCAGGTGCAGATGGGGCTGAGGTCCATGGAAGGGCCACCTACTCTAGGATGGGGACCTGGGCACAGGCGGGCTTCGCCCTTCCCCTCCGTGCTTCTATCAGAAATGTGTCCCCCTGCCTGCTGTTTGCACGGACCGAGGCATGGGGCTGCCTGGGCAGGTGGACCCTTCCGCCTTCGGGTGAAGGGGGTGGGATGTTAGGAGCAGGCTGAGGTCTGGACCTAGTCAGTGGGCTCTGGTGATTGGACCCCTGGGCTATGCACCTGCCTGCCCTGTAGTGTTCAGGCCATCGAAGTTCTGGATCTTGTCCCTGCACTGCTGTGTAGCTACCCTCTGGGCTGCCTCTGGGTCCCTGCCTCTGAGCATCCATGCGGGGTGGTCCTGATGTGCTGCCTTTCCTGTGCTGGGCTCAGTGTCCCCAGCAGGCGGTTCTGAGCAAGGCCTTGTCCTGAGTGACCCCAAGGTCGGCAGAGCGGACCCTTCCTGGTGTGTAGGAGACCGCAGGATCTAGGCTGCTGTCCCTTGACACTGGGTCTGTGAACCCATGGAAGTTGCTTTCTGGCGTCAGTTTGGAAAGCACATTTAACTGTCCCCAAAAAAGTGAAGTACTTTAATGGCTGAAAAATGAGGGTGTTTCAGTTGGAAGAAGAAAACTAACCCAGCAGAGCACACAGCAGCTCCTCTGCTGTCTCCTGGGAAGCTCTGTGTTTCCACAGAGATTTTCCCCAAACCCTAGGGAGGTGGTGGGGGTGCGGCTCGGGGGAGCAGCCAGTGGGGCCTCCGTCTGCTAGAGCCCCACACCTCACTTTCTCTCCCTCCAAAGCGGCGAGACCGCCTTCAAGAACATGACGATCCCCTATGGGTGGGCAAAGCGGCCCATGCTGCTGCGCATCGGCAAGCTGCACCCCGACGTGCCCGTGACTGTGATCTTCGGCGCCCGCTCCTGCATAGATGGCAACTCAGGCAGCAGCATCCAGGCCCTGCGGCCGAAGTCCTACGTGAAGACCATAGTGAGTGCAGGGCAGGGGTTGGGGCAGAGTGCAGCTTGGGGGATCCCGGGGCCAGGCCTGAGTCGCCCTCCTCCCCTGGCATCGCCCACAGCCTCGGTCAGAGCCTGCTGACCCCGGGGCAGGGAGGTCCTCTGAGCCACCTATGTCCTCCATGTGCCCAGCACAGCCCCTTGCTGAGGCTGACGCAGGGAGAGGTGCCCAGGGCCTCCCACTGGCCACAGCCCACTCCATAGCAGTCACTGCAGACTGGGCTTTTAAATCTCAAAACTGCAGTGAGAGTCGGCAAATTTCTCTATTTACCCCCTGATCTTACTGCTGCAGGCCCTTAGCGTTCCTACAGATCGTTGGTCTCACCCCCTCACAGCTTGGGGTTTTATGGCGACCACCCTGCGGTTTTTCAGCAGCTCGGGTAACACAGCTCCCCATGAATGCTCACACTGACCACGGCCCTGTCCCTCACCAGGCCATCCTTGGGGCGGGACATTACGTGTACGCCGACCAGCCCGAGGAGTTCAACCAGAAGGTGAAGGAGGTCTGCGGCTCGGTGGACTGAGTGGTGCCACCTCCCCTGGCGCCCGGTGGCGGACACAGCTCCTTGGCGGCGACCCAAGCAGTGACCTGGGGCCAGCACCCAGGAACGTCCTCTGCTGTGCCCGGCTTGGTGCCGTCGGGTGCCTGCGTGCTCAGCCCGTCAGTGCCTTCTAGGAGAGGTCCTTCCCTCGCACACGGTCGGCACCCAGGACCTCTCCACCTTCAGTCACTTTAAATAAAAGGTTGTGTGTTCCTCTGGTAAAAAATTGTACTTTTTAAACCAAGATTGATTTTTCATTTTTACCTAACTCTGCAGTGAAGTACTTTTCTTGGTGTGATGTACCCTGCCAGTTTAAAGGAACGATTTCTGGGTCTCTCGTGCCACCCCTGTAAGGGTGCACTTTGTTTTCCAGCGGTGTTTATCCTTCTCGTACCTGATGCCTTCATCCAGGTGTGCTTTTATGTGAAGGGGTCGGTGGGCTGCAGCCTCCGTTGCTGAATGCAGTGACCAGCCAGGCTTTCAGGGAAGGGCCGGCTCGGTCCCTGCGGGAGTTGTTCTCGCTGTTTCATCCTTCAGACTGCAAACCCTGGTCAGGGTCTCTCCTGACTAACGACCCTGCAGCAGTGCAGTTCCTTGGCCCCTGCGTGTGTGGCGCAGTCCTGTGTTTGTAAGGAGCAGGATGCTAACACTGCAAAGCCTTAACCACAGGTCGGTCCCTTTCCTTCCACTCAACGTGACTTCCAGGAGCCAGCGGCTCAGTAGGTGGCACAGGTTTGCTCCCTTACGAGGACACCAAGGCTGACCTCCAGAAGCTGAATCTTATATTTTGTTGAAATTTAACTCTTGTATGTGCTAAAACTGGGTTATGTTTTTACCACTAAAATATAAAATGAGGTAGCACTGGCATTTTTACTGAGTACTGTGTTGATTGAATCTGTAACATACTTGAAGTTATAATCAACCCTTCTACCATGTTGACTGCACTATTTGACATAACTTCTGTCAAGTGTAGCACTTTTTTTTGCAGTTTTGGAGTGAGGAAGACTGAAACTGTGAAAGGTCTCCCTGTGGTAAAAGCTGCTGTGGAAACTCTCTATGGAAGAAAATGGAATAGGACTGTCCCCTTTTGTTTTGTCACCTTTGCTTATCTGGAGCAAAGGCAGGTTCTGTAAATAAAAACAGTGAACAAATGATGCCCATGGCTTGGGTTTTGTTTTGTTTTGTTTTGTTTTTTTGGTACCAGGGATCGAACTCAGTACCTAGCACTTGCCAGGCAGGCGCTTATGCCACTGAACTAAACTCCTAGCCCATGGCTTGGGTTATTGCAATTTTCAAATGGTTCATTAAGGAATTTGCCATTTTGGCCCCTGTGTGTGATGCCCACTCTCTCTCTTTTAATTTTTGCCTGTTGGGTGGATGGCAGTTTTCCTTGTATAGGAGGGATTCTATGTGGGGCCCAGAGCTTGAGGGAAGTTCCTGGGTTCACTTACAAAAAACAGTGGCCCTGGCCACAGAGGCCTCATAATTCAGGAAAAGTCTGTACCCAAAGATCACATGAAACTTACTTTCCTGCTAAGTTGCTGTATTTGAAAGCTATTGTCAAACACTTTGTAAATTAGAGTTTCCTGTAGGGTGCACTGTATGTAATTTAGCAAAGATTGAGCTGGCAGTGAAAGTCATAACTCTAGAACTCTTGAGAATGCAGTGGGTGCTAAATACTCATTTTTTAAAATCCATGTCGGTATTTGATCCTGACTGAGTTACACACATTGTACTTTTGGCTTTTTGAGAATAAATTTTACCTGGTGTTTGCAGTGAGACTGTCTTATGTGGACGTTTGGCTGTGTCCGGCCGCACAGGGCTAGGGGCTGATGAGCACAGACCTTTGCCTGTCCTTTACCTGAGGACGGCATTGCTGCAGCTGCTCATACCTAGGCTGCTGCATTAACTTGGGAGAGGAAGGACAGGTCTGGAGTACCCTGTGTCTGCCAGCGAGCAGGCAGAGAGCAGAGGTGACGGCAGAAGGCCCAGTGGCCAGCTCTCAGGGAACCTCCTTGCCACAGCGGATGGTTTGAGTGACTGAAAAATGATGCGGGCAAAACAAGAACGTATGAAAACCCGTGAGATCACAATGCTTTGAACGAAGTGGTCAGCTTGGCGGTCACCAGGACACCCACTCAGCAGTAAAAAATCCCTAGTGGGAAGGAAGAGATGCTTTTCCTGACAGCTCTGTTATCGTGTTAATCTGATGGAGGGAGTTCTCCATGTAGAGCTCAGTACTAAGTGCCAGGGGCACGACAGGGTTAGGACGTTGTCATTTTTCTGTCCCACACCAAATCACAAGCCCAGGCTGCTGGAATGGTGAGGTGAAAAGTTAACAGGAACATTTTGCCGGGTGACTTGGTCTGATGACATCCGAACCTAGATCAACTGTGGCATTGCAGAGCCAGGGACAAGTAGATGTCACACGCCTCTGATACGTTACAGTAGCCAGAGCTCGGAACCACTCACAATGAATTATTGCCCAGAACAAACAAAATTGAACCTGAGTGTGATGGAGTTAATATCTAACAAGTTTTTTTAAAAACACTAGATTAGCTGGCCACTGTGATACCCACCTGTGATCCCAGCACTCTGGGAGCTGAGGCAGGAGGATTGCAAATTGGGGCCCAGCCTGGCCTACACAGCAGTTTAGCAAGACCTTGTCTCAGATAATAAATAAATGAAGCTCAGCAGAAAGGCCCTGTGTTCAAACTCCAGTCTCCTAAAACAGATTTTAAAAATCCACTGGGAGTTAATTAAGAAATACATCAAGATGCTAATCTGGAAGGTGGGAGGTTCCAAATCCAATTTCTTCAGCCGATCACTGCTGCAAAGTAAAAATGATTATTAAAGGGAATTAAAGGTTAAAAACCTTAAAAGATCTTGTATGCATCCTTATTTGAACAGAACTAACGTAAAATGACATTTTGAGACATTTAGAGAAAAGTTTAAGGACTAGGTATTGGATATTTTGTTTGAAACAGTGGTATGGTGGCTCTTAAACAGCCCTTAGCTGTTAAAAATCCACTCAAGTATTTTTGGTTGACTTTGCGATTGACCTTATGAGTTGGATTTAGCTGCATATAATCTGAGGAAGAAAGAAAACTGAACAAAACTGGGCAGGAAAAAGATTGATCCTGGGTGAGAAACACCTTGGAGTTTAGACGTCTACACTGGTGCATGTTTGAGAAGCTCCATAACACAGGCAGGCATAGTGGCGCACACCTGTAATCCCAGCCCATGGGAGGCTGAGGCAGAAGAATTGTCAGGAGTTTGATGCCAGCCTGGGCTACATAGTAAGACCCTGTCTCAAAGCAACAACAGCAGAACAACAAACTTCCTCATCAGAATTTACAGCATAACAGAATAGGAAGGAGAGATTGGAGGGTGCCAGCAGAGACAACTCCTAGAGGCAGATGAAAAGTAGAGGGCAGGAAACAGCTGGAGGGAAGGGAGAGGGATGTCTTGGTGGAGCGGCGTGGGGTGGAGGTTGCCCTGTGTGGAGCCATTTAGCAGTAGATCCTGCCTTACAGACACGGCACCGGTGTGCAGAGCGGCCTTGGGGTGTTCACCTTAGTATGGATTAAACCGCAGCATAAATTCAGAGCTGTGCGGAACATGTCCAGGGTACCCTTAATTAAAAAAAAAAGAATCCCAGCCTGCAGGATAGTTCAGACACCCACGCACACGCACACAGCATGCACACAGCGCGGCGGCTGAAGTTTGGGGAGGACCCCACACACATATGCTCACTCACAGCCCAGACGTCTGGGGAGCCAAACGCTCGAACGAGTTTGTTGACAGTGCTTCCCTTTGGACAGGGATGGGTCCTTCTGTTGTCTGTGCTTTTGTAAACTTTGGAGTCTTGCACGCTCATTGTATTTTAGTAAGCCTATAAAGATGGAGAAAAAACTCAGGATGTTAAGTTAGAACCAGCTAGAATTACTGTGCCAGCTCTCTGAGGACCGCCTGGCTTTACACTCCCTTCATTACCTTAGCTCCCAGATTTACACTTTAAACCAGGTGTAGCAAGCTGGCACCCGTCCACCCAGCACATGGGAAGCTGAGGCAGGAGAATTGCCATGAGTTTGAGGCCAGCCTGGACTACATAGTGAGGTCAAGCCCAACCAGAACTACACAGCATGACCTTGTCTTAAAACAAACAAATAAGAATGCTTTAAAGTTACTTTGTCAGTTATTTCTGAATGACATAGGTGAGGAATTTTATTCCAGCATGTATTTTAATCCTCAGAAATAGTTCTGTGTGTCCATGAAAGACTGCAGAGGTTTCCGTGAAGTGCGTGTGATAATCTGATCGTCCTGCTGGTGAGAGAAGGGCCCCCCTTGGGCAGATGTGAAGTCTGGAGTTCGGCCTGGATGCCACAGAGTGTGGCCTGGACACAGGGAAAGGCCCACTCCCTCCTGGGTGCAGTTGGAGAGGAGGAGCCGGAGCCCCCCAGGCAGGATGCAAACTACACCTCTCCAGTGTGTTTGCTAGGCTCGGTCACAGCTGTTCCCAGCTTTTCCTGGGGTGGTCTATCACTGGAATTTATATGGGACTAAGACGCCAGATACTGGCATCTGGAATGTCAACTGCCCCTGGTAGCCGGCCGGCCGTGTCCCCCACAGATCTCCCACCTTTCCTGAGACAGGATCTCACCAAGTCGTTAAATTCTCCAGGTTGGGCTCTTAACTTACAGTTCTCCTGCTTCAGCTTCCCATAGTGCTGGGATTACAAGCATGCCCCACCATGTCCCAGTGGGTTTTTGGTTTTAGACTGGGTTTAAAGCTGCAAATGGGGTCCGGAGGCAGCCTATCAGGGGACTTGGCCTAGTTCCAATCTTCTGAAACAAGTTTTCAGCAAATGGCTTAGATAAACAAGACAGATGTATGATTGTGGAGGTTCCAGGAAGGTCAGAATTCTCTCTCAGGAGTAAAGACTGTGTTTTGGAGCTGTTGAGGTTTAGCACACGTGCAGGGCTGTGGCATGGCTCAGGCACTGCTGAATTGAGAACGAGATACTTCAGGGTGTAAGACAGGCCACAGCTGAGGCCACCTGGAGGCTTTCTGGATGGTTTTCCTTAATTAGCAAAGACTGTTGCTGGGGGGGGGGGTCCTTGAATCCCTCCCAAGATCCTGCTCAGGTTTCCTCCATTGTTCACTCAGCTTCTTGCTTGTTCTGATTAAATATAGGCCACCCATGGTCAGTCTGCCAGCCGCTAGCAGAGTTACCGAACTCTATAGAGGATTTTAGCCCTCCTGGAGCCCTAGAGATCATGCCGCCTGTCTCATTCCTTTGAGCCTTCACCATGCACCTGGTTGGGGGTTGGGGAAGGTCTAGGAACAGACCTCCATCATCTGGGGTAAAGATGAAGAACTTCTCTGGACAGCCCATATTTACTCCACAAACTTTGGGGTGCAGGAAGAGGAGGGGATGAAAATGAAGTTGGAACGAAGGCAGTAAATCCCTCTGCTCTCTGAGGTGGGCAGCTCGATTGCTCTGAACGGGGAGTCAGCAGTCCGTGTCCCAGGCTGCCTCAGCCGCAGTGTTGTCTTGACTTAGGAGCACTGTGAATGAGCTTCGCCAACACAGGAAGCCAGGGGCTCTGTGCTCAGCAGCTGAGCCCTGCAAAGCCCGGGCTCCAACAGCAGCCAAACCTGAGTTTAGCTATTTTATTCATAGTGGAGTCTCCCCTCTACAGACAAGAGGAAAGGCGCTCAGATCATACCCTAAGTCAGGGCTTTCTTCTCTGATGTCTCCTGGATGGAAAGCCGGCTGGAGTCTAGCAGAGTTCTGGTCTCCCCCACACCCTGCAGCCACGGCCCTGAGCCATGGTCCTCCCTGTCTATATCCCTGTGTTGGCTCCTGCCTGCTTGTCCTAGTGTGTTCATTTTCTCCCCATGTTCCAGCGGGTGTGTCCCGACACTGAGAGTGGATTGACCCTCGTAGGCTCATACTGCATCAGAAGATGAAGTCCCGGCTCAGACTTGGGGAATCACTCTTCCCTCGTACCCCGACACCTGGCTAGGGAGAGGCTTTTCCATAGTGGAAGACATACATCATATTTCCCCAGTGCCTTGGTGACCATGACCAGCAAGCTGTGGACATTTCACTTTAGACGTATAGACGAGACTTAGGCAGCACAGGACG